CGGCTATATTTAACCCACAATATTGATACATCTGTGCTGCCTTGAGGGATATTTTTGAGTCTGCAATATGAATTATTCCCAATTTCTTGAGCTAAACACTGTTTTTTGAATATGATCTCTTGACATTGGAGTTCAAATGTGCATCCAAGCAGAATCCAGAGCTGGTGAGAAGTTGTCTTCATCTAATTTCTGTTATAGTAAGAATGATGTCTCTGATTGCCTCCACAGGACTGACCCTCAGCACACCAGCAACAACCATCAACAAAGTCTGTGCATCTGGAATGAAGTCCATCATGATGGCAGCTCAGAGTCTAATGTGTGGACACCAGGTATTATCAGCATTAAATATGCAAGGTGTAACAAAACACGAGTGCAGATTCTTCTGAAATACTGCATCTTTTGCTGTCATGCTAGTACTCGATCACAGATGTGATCCTGATAAATGCATAAATGCACGTGTTTATCAGGACTGAAAGAAACTTTTGTTTATAATGGGCTATTCCGGCTTTGTAATGCAAATTACTCTGACTATAGTTCTATATGTGTGACTTAGGATGTGATGGTGGCAGGAGGCATGGAGAGCATGTCCAATGTACCTTATGTGATGGCAAGAGAGACCCCATCCTACGGAGGAGTGAGGATGGAAGACCTCATTGTGAAGGACGGACTCACTGATGTCTACAACAAATTCCACATGGTGATCCTCATGTTCTACTTATTATTGGAAAATTATAAGGCCTATGTGCATTTAGAGCATTATAATATTGTTGCTCTCTTACAGGGTAACTGTGCAGAAAACACAGCCAAGAACTGCAAAATCAGCAGAGAGGAGCAGGATGCGTACGCCATCAACTCTTATAGCTGCAGCAGAGCAGCGCACGAGGCTGGTGTGCTGGCAAAGGAGATAATACCTGTTACTATTACCCAGAAAGGTACAGGAAGATGTACCATGTTTGTCTCGGCCCAGTGACTTTAATTAGTGTTATTGCACAGCTAATGTTGTTGATGGGGTTTTGCAGGCAAACCTGATGTGGTGGTGTCTGAGGATGAGGAGTGGAGACGGGTCGACTTCAGCAAAGTCCCCAAACTGAGGGCTGTGTTCCAGAAAGAGAACGGTAACGATGAGTTATAGAGAAACCTGAAGCTGTGTGAAGCATCCACATTCTTCTTGCACTTTAACACTAATTAAAATAAAACAAAAAGATTAAAAATGAGATTTTCTTTAATGTTTTTAACTAAGACGTGTAACATCAGACAAATACAGTGTGTACTGTTTTTATTAAAATAACTTAAAAAAAAATTGTACAAGTAGTTCTGCTGCTACAGGAAATGTTAATAACAGTAATGTGGTTGCTCATCTGTGCGTTATTAAAGGTGTAATTTATTTTGATGGGTCTCTTGTTATTTTTTTATTTTGCTATTTTCAGGCACGGTGACAGCAGCCAATGCCAGCACACTGAACGACGGAGCTGCAGCTCTTGTTTTAATGACAGCAGATGCAGCAAAAAGACTCAATGTGACTCCACTGGCCAGGGTTGTTTGTAAGTTTTTCGTGGACGCTTGCTTCATGGAGAGCTTTACTGTTGGTTTGCTCTTGGTTCGCACTCACAAGGTGAAGAAGGAGGCCGATATTATTAGGTCGATATTGCTGGAAAAAACAAAAAGACAGTGTAAAACCTAACCCCAATAATTACCTGACACCATATGATCAAGTACTTGGTGACAGTGGGAAAGAAAAACATTTAACAGGAAGAAACCTCTGGCAGAACCACATTGACCACATTTTTTATGCTTTTTTCAGAGCATTTAAAATCACAAGAAAACAGCAAATAAGTTTAAGCATTGATATTCGTTAGAGGCATCTTTAAAAGAGGGTTATTGCAAACCCAAAGGCCGACTGGCTCCAAATAGTTGGACCTGTATAATGAACTGGGTAGAAGCTGACTTGATACATTTGACCATTTGTTCCAGTGGTATCTGTTCAACTATCTTCATTAAAGTAACAAAAATCTGTCATAAAAAATCTTCTGTTGTTAAACCGTTAGCTGGCTTTGTTTAGTTGTTGTTTTTCAATGCATCCATTTGAGTCTGACACCAGTTCTTCAGCATTTGTTTATATCAAGTCACGGTGGTAAAATGAACTCCTTTTGAAATGAAAGTTTTTCTTGTTTCCTCCTGAGAGTATCTTTGATGACTTTTGGTTGCCAAACAGTTCATATATATCTGTACATTCTCTCATTTGTTTTACACAGCTTTTGCCGATGCTGCAGTTGCACCCATTGATTTCCCCATTGCTCCTGCATTTGCTGTACCAAAGGTGGGTTATGAGCATGTAGTCTGGCACTTACATTTTCTAATTATTTTGCAACAATGACACAACCCCCAAAAACATGGTTTTACAGATGGAGGCCACCAACAGTTTTTCCCTCCTCATCTTTTCAGTTTTTTCACTAGTTTGATGAGACTAGTCCTCTATTAGGCCAGTCTCTGTATCATCTTATGCTTTTAGTAGTCTGAGGCAATACTTGGGACCCTACAGAGGTTACACAGGTAGACCAACTCTGACAGGGTGACACATCAACATCTGCCATTGACAGAAGGCTTTCTGTGTCTCCCAGCACAATTTCAAGAGCATGGGAGAGATTCGAACAGACAGGCAGTTACTTTAGGATAGCTGGACTGGGCCATAGAAGGTCCTTAACCCATAATCAGGACTGGTGTCTGCCCCTGTGTGCAAGGAGGAATAAGATGAGCACTGCCAGAGCACATCAACAACTCGTGTAGGAGGTCACTAAAGAACCCAGAATAGCATCTAAAGAACTGAAGGCCTCACTTCTTCCAGTCAAGATTACATAATATAAGAATAAGCCTGACCACAAATAGGAGAGTTCCAAGGACGAAACCACTGCTGACCAAAATAAACACACACTCCATTTTTCAATAAAATATCTTGATGATTTTGGTAAATAACCCAAAACCTTTGGGAAATATTCTGTGGACGTGGGAGACAAAAGGTGAACAAAGAATTCAACCAAGTCCAACCTGAAAGGCTCATCATCAGTTATCACAAATGTGCGATCCTGCTTCTTGCTGCAAAGGGTGACACAACAACACAATGACATCATCATTTAGAAACTGCATGTCGTATTTGCCTGGGTTATATTTGTTTTGTGATTACTAAAGATTGTTCATATTTATATTTTTAGGTTAAATTAAAAGTATATACAAAAGCATAATATAATTATTATTTAGACCCATATATGTGTATGACTAGACCCGTGTGTGTGTGTCTGCCAGGTGCTGGATGCAGCAGGGCTGAAGAAGGATGATATTGCCATGTGGGAGATCAATGAGGCCTTTAGCGTGGTTGTGCTGGCTAACATCAAGATGCTGAACATCGACCCAGCAAAAGTCAACGTTAACGGGGGAGCTGTGTCACTGGGACACCCCATTGGGTAGGTGACACAACAAAATGTTACAACTTGGCTTTAACTCACCTGGTTGTTCTCAAAAGTATTTTTTTCTAGTAAATGTGTTTACATTTGTCTGAAATATTCAGATGTGGCCCATAATATTGCAAACAATACATCATAACTGTTTCTCTTCGCAAACAAGAAACCTGACACGTGACAGCCCTGCTAACCTTTTTGGCTTTGTCAGAGTTAATTATTTAACTGGAGCAATGCTTAACCACAGGTATGTGGATCTTCTCTAAGCACTGACCTTAGCAATTGAGACTTTGTTGACTATGCTTAAAAAGCCAGCTCTGTGCCAACAAACCACATAATTTAAATTAACTCTACAAATTCTGCGAAACAGTGTGCTCAAATGTCCAGCCTGAATTATTCTAGAAGCTTGTCAATGACTAACAAAGGTGCCATGGCCGAGATTAACTTGCTAAGAGACATTTAAGCAATATAAATAGGTGCGTATGTATATATTTGAGCCTGTGTGTGTATATAGTATTAAACATGTATAGATGAGAGAAAATCCAAAATAAATACAAACCTGTTTACCCAACTTATTGAAAGTCATTGAAGAAAAATCTCAGAAACATCATTCCACTCTGGAAAAAGAACAGTCCAAATTAATCATTCCCAAAATGACTATTCATGGCAGGCTCAGCCTACGCTTGAAGCCGCCGAGGTGTTCGATGGCGGGGCTGACGTGATGTCACTGTTATGAATGAAATTTGCCACAGTCCAATAACTCCAGCCGTGCTTATCTTGTCCGTTTAACATCTTTATTGCATTCCATCAGTTGTATTTATTGTTCAACAGTTCTCTTTATCCAACCTCATTTATCATAAATCACAACAGCATAGTGGTCACAAACTGTTTGCTTTTTCCGACATCTGACACTAATTACGTGTGCCTACCTTAAATACAGTTCCATGTTTGATTTCTGTGCACTTCTGTAGTACGCCATGGCTTTTTAAACCTAGAGTAGAAAAGAAACTATTGCCCTCTATTTTTCTTTCCTCTGTCAGGATGTCTGGTGCAAGAATTGTGGGTCACATGGTGCACAACCTGAAGTCTGGTCAGTACGGGCTGGCGGGCATCTGCAATGGAGGTGGCGGAGCTTCTTCCATTCTGATCCAGAAGCTGTAAGAAGATCTGGCAAGAAGCTTCTGTTCCTTTAAGAGTGTTGAACTGTGCAGTGACTGTCTGCTGGTTCCAAAGGACTCTCACATCTATAAGCTCCTGTTAATTGTGAAGAAAGAATCTGTTACGTTAATGTCAGCGGCCTTAGCAAACAGCAACACGGGACTCCTGTGATGTCGTGACTCCAGTGTACAAAACACTCCTCTTGTTTGAGAACACGTCTTGTGCAAAAAATAGAATAATGTTTAACTCTGGTTAAATAAATAGTTTTTTGAAAGCACTGTCTTGTTATTGGTCTGTTGTGAGCGTGTGTATTTACTGGGTAATACTACAATTACCAGTTTGTGTTGTTTTTCAAACTGGCCACTAGATGCCGCAACTACCTTTCTTAAGTTAAGTTGTTCTTACACTGGATACATAACGTGCCAGAGATGAGCGATAACATTGACTGTGCTCTGTTTGGCTGCATTATCTGCAACAGCAATGTCTTTTTAACCTTTTGAAATTGGGGATTAAAGGATCAGTTTGCCTGTGATTATAAGAACTGCACTTTCCCCTCTCTTAAATATTCTCTGCCTGAAGGGAAACAAACATTTGTCTGTAATGATAAAACATGAATTAAACTATATTATTTATATTAAGACAAGAATGTAAAACTGGCCACATGAAAAGGGACTGTCCAGAAGGAATCTGAATGCATTGTGCTGCAGAAGATGTTTTGTTTTTCCAAGAATAGCATTAGAATCGGTATAGGCTCCTCTTGTTTTTATTTATTTAGTCATTTCTTTTTGTGTTATTTTCAGATATTACAATATATGGGGAATAGTATGACAAAAAAGATGCTAGACAGATACCATTTTTGATGGCTAAAGCATTTGTAAATATTCACAAGGTAATCCATGTCTTTAAATAGACAGAATTCGCCCATAGTTTAGTGGACTCATGTTTGTGGGGTGTGGTTTAAGTGTAGTGTTGCTGGAAATGTATCATGTTTTTCCCCTGTGGGTAAACACCTAGTCAGGATATGCTGCTCAGTAAAGGTAAGTTTAATCAAAACCGGGGGAAGGAGGGTGCAATGAGTGGTTAGCTTTATGCAGGATGTTTTGTTTCCTCTAATTAGCTTGAACTCGATGATCCCTCATTATCCTCACACCCTTTCAAAGTCAGTTTAAGGTTGTGAGTGTGTCATTTAGACATTATGTACCTCCACCCTGTCCTTCATGACGTCATCTTTCTTTCTCTATTTTGCATTTCCTGACAGTTGGCACATTCATACAGAGTTAAATTTTAACAGGGTCTGAAAGTCCTTTGTCCATTCTTTTTTAAAGTCCACTTATTTAGACGTCACAAATTAAACTCAGGGAACTCTTTGCTTTGACAGGACCGAGATTTACACTTAATGTAAGTGCATATATTACACCTTTTCACCCTATTTTTAATCTTCATGTTATGGTTAGCAGAATATAGTAGAATCTTATTAGGCCCCAGAGTAAAGCTGTGAAGACTGGTAAGAGATGGAGCTTTGATTACCAAAACACATGCCTTATGCAAAAGAACCTAAGCTTGTATGAGATGCACAGGATTGTTACACCAATCTGCAAACCTCTCGGAAATATATATAGAACAGTGTCTCTCATCTGTACTGAAGTATGGTGCTTTGTAATGGGGGTGGTATTGTATCAAAAGCATTGTTTGCATTTGTCTCAATCCGAACGTGTGTATTTCAGTCTGTGTGGAGATTTGTGTGTGCGTAGCAAACGTTACATCTTAAAATAAAAGAGAGATAAAGTAAAACTGCATGATTGTAACTTATGATTTGTGTGTTGTTGTTGTTTTTTATAGAGATTTGCGCTTTAATACTTTTGAACCAGAACAGACATGAACACACAGACATACTGATTTCTCTACGCACACACAAATCTGATTACACGTACACGAACTGGAATATGTACATGTGAATTAAGATACTGAGATATGCCCATATTCTTTGCACCTGTCATTTTTTTATCCAGTTGTGTGTAAATCCACTTGAGCACCACATGCTGGGTGCGCACACAGTGGGAAAGGGCGTGACTCTGGCTGTTGATTACATTCGAGGCGAGAAAGAAAATGAGACAGGGAGAGAGAGAAACAAACGAGTGCGGTAACAGAGTCAGAGAACCGAAGGAAACTTTCGAGGTGAGAACTAGTAAATAATTCTAAGCAATTTAGCTGTCCTGGATCACATGATACCTTCATACCAAAGTAAGATGAGCAAGGATTTATTCAAAAATGTTCTCTCTTCAGTTTAAATCTTATTTGTGAATAACAGAAAAGTGTAAACGAGTATTTCTGTTTCATTTTAATATGTGTATGTTATTTTTTAGCTTCTTATTGTGGGGCCAAGCTGTTCAGTTTAATGAAAAAATACAAATCTGCAAAGATGTGTGAATGTTTTTATACCTGTGTGGCACCTAACAACTAGTATTTAAATGTGTTTAAATTTTACACATCACTTTTCAGGTTTCACAGAGTTCTTCTTCTTTGGGCAGTAAAATCAGTTTCACTATGAATAATAATCAGGTAAGGTCACCTCAAGTGTTATTCTCAGGTTGTTATTTGACTAAACATACATATACAAACAGGCTCGATCTGATATCTCAACTTTATAACTGAATCTAACAAACCGATGCTGATGAAATGATTACCTCAGTGACAGGTAGAGCAAATAAATTCATCTTTTTTTTTTGTCTGTATATCTCCAGGTGAGCGGTCCCATGTATGACAACCAAGTGTTTAAACATGAAGAATATAGTCCTCCATATTCTGTAACACAGCAGATCCCCAGCCATTCCTCCATCAACCAGTATTATACTTCAACACCTGGAATACCAGCTAATCCAAGGCAAACAAAAGGTACTGGAATATTTGATTTGACCAAGGTTGTCACTTGGCAAATATGGATCTGGAAATATGTATTACACATTCACAGAATCATTAACTTATTTTTGTTCCACATTTTAAATCCACACATACTAATTTAACCTAAATAATTAAAATTGTTTCCTTGATCAAATGAATGCAGTTTCAATCGAGTCTTTTCTAGAGACACAAGACAACGTGGCTAAAATAGTTTTAAACTGTTGTTGTCTAAAAGTTGGCAGGCAGAAAGCCGTGGTGACTGTTACACCAACTGATGAATTTATTGATTAACTGATTTTTAAAGTCGATAAACTTGAAGAGTTTTACAGTGTTTCCACAAGTTAAATACTGTGCAAATTTTAATATGCAGCATAAAATAGGTAACTGTAACTTCCTCTTAACCACTAGATACTCACAAATTCAGAACGTAGACACTGAACTATCCAGACACACCTTTCTGAATATGACTGCATTCATAGAGAGTTGCAAACTATGAAAGATATACAAAACAAAACAATAAAACACACAGAGTGGAGTTATACTTTTGCATAAAGTTTATTTATATAGTGCAATACAGAAACTCTTCATATTAATTGAAATGTTTTAGTTTCATAAGCTCAATAAAAAGAAACTCTAAATATTAAAGTTAGAAGATGTTAAAAGCAAAAGAAAAGAAAAAGTAAATGATGTGTTTATTTACTTCAAGAATTTTGGTTTACAATGTTTATATGAGCCTCAAAGTAAGTTAGCTGTGTTTATGACTCTTCTTTGGTAGAGTTTATTGCTTCTTGTTGACTGTTTTATGGTTTACATTACTACAATATCACAATATTCATCTGTCATGACAGTGGCTGTTTAGATTTCTAAAACATGGGCAAACTCAGTGCAGTTGTGTCTTGTTTGTGACTGCGCATTAATGATTGGGATAGTTATACATTTATACAGCTCCAAATCACAACAACAGTCACCTCAAGGTGCTTTATATTGTAAGGTCGACCCTACAATAACACATACAGAGAAAAACCAACAATTATATGACCTCCTATGAGCAAGCACTTTGGCGACAGTGGGAAGGAAAAACTCCCTTTTAACAGGAAGAAACCTCCGGCAGAACCAGGCTCAGGGAGGGGCGGGG